CAGACGGAGGCTCCTGGACCCAGAATCTACTGCGTCACCCACCGTCACCACCTGGCTCCCCATGGCCTTCTGGAGACAGAGAGAGTGGGTCCAGCCCTCTCCCCGACTGGCCTCCCACCCAAGCCCTTGGGCTCCTCAACTTCAAAGGGAAAGGCAGCAGGGCCGGCCGAGTGGCGCGATGGTTAAGAGCTGGCTTGGGACGTCAGAGGGCCCCGGTTCGCATCCCACATATGAGGGCCAGTGACACTGCCCTCCACAGCTAAGATGCTGAACAACAGCTCAGCCTGGAGCTGGGCTGCCGTGAGTCACCGGGGACGGCGTGGGCTGCAGCCCCTGCTGCAGTGGGTTGCCATGGGCTACTGTGTGTAGCCAGCAGCCAGCGTGAGCGGCCCTTAAGCCGTGGTAAGCGGCCGTCCAGAAGCCGGTGACTGACCTGCCTCACCCAGGAAGAGCACAATGATGGTGCCAACTTGGGCCAGTGAAGCGACGTCCTCCACAACTAGACTGAAGAACAAAACGACAGCAACTTGTCTGTTCCCCTTCCCCAATTCCCCAGCGCTGTTCCCATCCCCCAATTTCTCAATAAAAATCTTAAAAAAAAGAAAAAAAGGGAAAGGCAGGGGCAGGGGGTAGTGATCGGACAATGAGCAGGGGTCCAGCGACACCGGACGAGGGGAGAGGGCGGCCAGGGGGCCACATGCGGGGGCTGGGGTGGGGCGGGGCCAGAAACACTCAGATTGCGATTGCGTCTCTCAGTGGCGTGGGGTCCCTGCCCACCCCTGCCCCGGTCATCTTCACACCCCTCTGGATTTTAAAAGTGCTTTATAACCAGTAGGCATTGATTTCATAATTAGGAACAGACGTTTAAGAAAACGAAAAACTCGGTGGAGTCCTAGGACAGCCCAGGGCCTCTCCCCACCCCTGCTGCCCTCTGTCTTCATCTGCTTTGCGTCTCCTTCCTGCCCAGACCCTGCAGCCCCAGGAGACCAAGACCAAGCGCAACAGTGCTCTCCCAGGAGCCCTGGGAAGCAGCTGAGGGGAGAGAGTTGACTGAGAGGGGGGCTCAGGGCAGGAGGCCCCGCAAGGGCTCCGGGAGGCAGGTGGGGCCTCAGAGTCAGCCTGGGGCTCCGTAGGGGGCTCCCCTCTAGGGCCTCACTGAGCATAAGCAAGTGCTAGCCTGTCTGAGCTTTAGAGCACGCCCCTCCATCAAGGCCTGCCCTGCCCGCCTCCAGCAGAGGACAGGATCCATCAGACGCCCCTTTAGACCCTGACACCCCAGGGGGCTCCTGCCCTGCCAACCCTCTGGCCTCTCTACTCCTCTGCCCCCCTCACAGAGCAGTGGTGTAAAGTCCTGGTCAGAGTCTGGGGGGGCCCCCACAAGCCCCTGGCACAGGCAGCATTGTCCCCAGCTGGCCCATTGTCCCCAGCCCAGCCCAGGCTCTGCAGTTTCTCAGTCATACCCTTCGGTCCACACAGGGGTCCTGGCCATCATGGGGGTGGGGTGTCAGGAAGGCCTGAGCCAGGCCGGCAGGGGGCCAGGCATGTCCAGGGCACATGGATGGTCACGCTCGCTCACCTGGTTTCCTGCACCTGTCCACTCGTCTTTACCCACCCAGGTGCCCACACTCAGTCGGAGATGTCGATGGTACAGCCCGACAAGCCCCCACCCCCACAGGTGGGGTAAGAGCCCGAGGGGCTGCTGCACGCGTGCACACACACATGGACACACACACAGACACAAGGACACACATGGATTCAGGCCTCAGGGCAGTCGGGCAGGGAAGGTAAGTGCTGGCAGAGCAGCCTCTGGAGGAAGGACATGGGGAGGGCAGTGGGCTGTGGGTGCCGACGGCAGGACGACCCCAGGACCCCGGAGACAAGTGGGGGACCTGAAGGCCATTCACTTTCAGACTCAGGCCACCACCTCTGACACTTCCCACAAGCCAGGAATTCCTGTGAACAGCAGTGGACAATCACCCACGTGGACCCAGCCACCCCCAACTCCAGTGGGCAGACAGGGCACCTACTCCACACACAGAGGAGCTGAGCTGCCCTGCCTGGGCCCTCCCTCAGCCGGGGGCACCTGTCTGGGAGACGGTGGTGTGTGTGTGGTCTCTCTGTGTGGGCCTTGGGTTAGCTGTCCCCGAGGTGCTATCTCCCTTGCTTGTCTCTGCATTCTTACCCCCAAGGCTGCAGGGCCCCTGCCCTTCTGACACCCCAGGGGTCTGGGAGCAGAGCTGACACATGTCAGGTGTGTATGGCCCCGGGAGATCTCTCCCACCTGATCCCCTGGGCAGACTGGTGGGGGTGGCAGGTTCCTGGGGCTCTCTGCTCTGGGCAGTGGGGCAGGAGGCTGGAGGTGCTGCTGTCCACGAGCTGAGAGCAGGGAGGGGAGGGACGCCCCGTGTGCATTTTCGGGCCCTGACGCAAGCGGTTGCATGTGGGGAGATAAGTGCTGGCCAGGGCTGGCCCCGTCCCAGGCCCTGCCTGCAGCCCCCAGCCCAGTGGGCCACGCCGCCCGGCCCGGTGGGGCACAGCTCAGCACTCTGCTCAGAGCAGTTCTTTGTGCCCTGATCTCGCAGGTGCGGGGGTGGACGGGGCCTTGGCCGGCGCAGCCTGCGATCACATGTGACAGCTGCTGCCCTGTGTGCCGGCTGCCAAGGTCTCTGTCGAGCATAAATGGGGCGTGTGGGTCGGCAGCGGCAGAGCCCAGCGGTCAGCAGACGGCTCTCCTCCACGCTCCGCTCGCCTCGCCGGCCGCCCAGGACCTGGACAGGAGGCAGGACCAGGTAAGGGGGAGACTCCCGGCCATGGGACCCCCTCCTCATTTCCGCAGCCCCTCCCGCTGGCCTCGCAGGAGACTCGCAGCACCGCCGCCTGGGCCCAGCCGCCGCCGCCGCCGCCGCCGCCGCCGCCGCAGCGTCTCGTGGTTCCTTTTTCCTATGCATATACTTCTTTGAGGGTCTGGCCTAAAGAGGTGTAGCGCATGGGAAAATGGGGTGACGAGGTCCTCCTCCAGCCGCACCTGTGTCCTGACCTGCCTCCACTTTTCTGGGGCCTAGAGGCTTCCTTGCCCCACCTCGGACAGGGTGGGTCGAATCTCCGAGGCCGGGATCCGGAACCTTCGCTGCTGAGGGCGTGCCCTGGAGCTGTCAGGGTGTGTGGTCCAGTTCCCATCCCCATCTCTGCCCCCCAGGAGCCCCTGTGACAAATCTCACCAGGGATGTCCTGAAGAGGACCTGGGTCAGCTGTCTGGGGCCACACCAGGTCTCGCTGTGGCTCAAATGTCAGCAGGGGTCCTCGCGGGTGGTTTCTGCTTCTTACACCTCCCTCTTGCTTTTGTAATGATGCTCGAGTTGACGTCCTGAACATAAATGTCAATAAAGCCAACTTTCCTGTAAACCTGAGTGTGAAGTTTGACATGAGTTTAAAACCAAACTGTGGCCTTGGGCCCCGGTTTCCTCTCGTCCGAGTCGGTGGGTCACATCACTAAGTGGTCTTGGGAGAAAAGGAACCAAAAACACTCCAGAGGGCAATGAACTGACTCCCAGGCCCATGGCTGCGGGGGTGGGGGGTGTTCCTGATAACCGGCGTCACTGGAGGCGGGGACCCCCCCCAGGGTGCCTGGTGACACATGATGGTGATGGGCGGGCCAGGAATGCCAGGGCCTGACCATGAGGGCACAGTGTGCCCCGAACAGAAGCCTCGGCCACCTGGGAGTCTGGTCTTAACTTCCTGGTGAGGAAAAGCGGACACAGGGGCTCCCGTGAATTGTCGACTAACATCGCTAATCAGCCCAGCAAAGTGCAGGCGCCCCTTTATCAGCAGCCCCGCCCAGGCTGGCCGCCCCCCTAATCTGTGCTAGGAACCGGCTCCTCCTTCAGAGGCCACAGCCTTCGGTGGGAGGTGGGAGCGAATGGGCACAGCAGGGGCGGCGACACCAGGAAGCCCTCCGCTCAGACAGCCCCGCCCCTCCGTCCTTCTTCGCCAAGACTGGGGGTTGGCTGTACTGGTGAGCCCCGTGAGGCTCTCTGCGGGACAGTGGGGGCAGGAAGCGTGTATCGCAGCACCCCCAGCGCATAAGCCCCAGCTGCACTGAGGCAAACGCCCCTGTCCCCTGAGCAGCGAGCCCTGGTTGCAGGCATGGCTGGAGCCAGGGAGTCAAAAGCTCTGCTTCACTCCACTCTTATCCCGATAGCAGCTGCAGGGCACCACCCTCAGCGTCACCACACTGGGGGAAGACGCACGACCTCCCCAGGCCCCTGACTGGCCTTGTGGGTCACGTGCTTCACCGCAGTCCAGGGGTCAACAGCTCCCTGTGCAGGGAGAAAAGCACGGGGTCCCCCATGGCTGGGCAGAGTAGTCAATGTGTCCCAGAGAGCTGCATTTTAAGTCACTGTACCAGGGGGTATATAGTCACCCCAGATGCCCCTGAGAGACCGGAGGGGCTGCATCTGTTCAGCAAGCCCAACATGTCCACTCTGCTTGTGGGGTTCATGGGAGTGTCTATACCCCCTCCCTGCCCCTGCCTCCTACCCCCGGGATCACAGCCTGGGCACCAGAAACTGGGGACTCAGAGTGGGGATGTGTGTTTGGCCCCGGGAGAAAGGTCCAACTTTATTTTTTCTAACTGGGAAACCAGTTTATCCGACACCTTATATTGAATAAATTATCCTTTTATCACATGCTAAAAGCCCAGCACAGAACAAGTCCGCTTCTGGCTTTTGACTTCCTGAATGAAACCTTTAGTAGCTGTCAGGGAAGGAACAGCTTTAAAATGTCTTCAGCTGTAAACCCTCAGAATCTTAATGCAGGTCAGGGTCCCGGGTCCCACCTGTGAATCAGCAGGAGGCCCCACCAGGATGTCAGTGTGATATCAGTGTAAGTGGGGAACGTCTGTCTGGCCAGGTAGATGCCAGGCACAGCTGTGAACACACCCGGTGTGTGTAAGACGGCTGGCATGTGACGCCAGCTGCAGGCTTCCGGGCAGCCATGCATCCTCAAAAGGCATCCCCAGTCTCCGGCAGGAAACACAGGCTCCAGGACCCCGTGGACAAGGCCAGGCCCAGCGCGTGCACCTGGCTCCCCGGGTCTGGCAGGCAGCACAGCAGAGGCTGCCTGCCGCTTGGGGCCCACGCTGAGGCCACGGAGGCGTGCTCCACTTGGCAGGGGCCCCAGAAGGAGCCAGGGGGCTGTGCCAGCACCAAGGGCTGAGGCAGGGATGCCCAAGGGTACAGCAGCTGCAGGCCGCTGTCCGGAGCAGAAGGTGGTGGGCAGAAAGCCAGGGGCGCGTAGAGAGCTCCAGGGAGGCGGGCGCTCGGCTGCGAGTCCTGCAGTTGGCGTTTGTGTTTCATTCGGCGGTTCTGAAACCATGTTTTTATCTGTGGGGAAGACAAGGTAAGAGCGAGGGGAACAGCAGGCCATCGCCCTGCCCCAGCGCGGCCCACGGGCCTCACCTGCACCTCGGACAGCCGCATCTTTTGCGCCAGCCTCCGGCGCTCCAGGGGGCCCAGGTAGCGGCGGTGCCGGAAGGAGCTCTCCAAGGTGCTGACCTGCTCCGCCGTGAAGGCCGTGCGCACGCGTGGAGGCCGCGCGCTGCCTGCCTCCTTGCTCATCCCTGGAGGAGGGCGGAGGGCGCTGAGTCCATCTAGCTATGGGTGCAGCCCACATGTGACCCACTCCCCTCGCCTGGCAGGTGCCACAGCGCTGTGGCTGCAGATGGCAGGCACAGTGATAAGAAATATGACTGGGGTGTCAGGAAGTGCAGACCGCCCTCCCTTACCTCACTTTTGAAAACAACCTCCACTGCTCTGCTGTCCCACAGCCCCAACCCCCAGCCAAGTATGGCATAGGGTCCAGAGATGTGGCTCCGGCAGGGGCGTGGCTATCACAAAAAGATGGCTGGGATGGGACAGTAGTTCTGGCGCAGACCCCTCACCCGCTGCCCCAGAGCACTCGGTCCCCTCCTGAAGGGTGGCCTCCACACGCCCCACACCCACCCAGAAAGCAGTTTCTGTTGCCTGCAGACAAGGAACTCCCTTCACTCACCAGGTGAGGGGTGGGTGGCAGTGAGGGCTGGTGGAGCCCATTCTATGCAAAGGCCTGAGGGGCTGGGAAAGCAGCCTTTGTCACCGCGAACCAGGATCTACTGTGTGTCGGGCAAGTCTGCTTTGGAGACAGGAAGGCAGCTTCCTAGCGTTGAGTTAGCCAGAAAGGTCAGCTGCTGGAACCCGATAAGTTTCACAAATGTCGGCCCTCAGGTACCACCTGGGGACCATCGATGGGCAAGGAGCCTTGCCAGGCAAAACGCAAAGATCCTCGTAGCAGCAACAAGGGGCTGTCCCTTTCACAGCACATGTGCAGTAAGGCCAAGCGTATCCCTAACGTGACCTTTCCCTAATTTAAATACTAAAAACCACTCCTGGGGTGGAGATTTTACCATGCTAATGAGACATGCGCGCAGGAAGACGCGTGTAGCCGCACTGCGCAGGCGCCAAGAGACCCCGCCCCGCTCCCTTCAACCCTGCCCCAACTGCTTTCGGGGAGCCACCCGAACCGTCCCTTTCTCGGTGTTGGTTCCCTTTTGCGCAAGCTTAATAAACCTTTGCCTCTTGCCTGAGCTTTCTTGTGGTGATCTGACTTCCATCCTGGGAGATGACAAGAGCCAAGGATGCCGGTACCATTTTCTAATTTCTAAATTAGGAGATGGGGGATGGCACTCAGCACCCCCACGCCGTCAGGTCAGCCAGTGTGGGGTCTTAACACAAGTCTGACCAAATGCCAAGCGGTTGTTTTAAGGGAAGCAGGTTTTACAAAATCAGTTTTAACTCTTACCTGGAAGTGTGCACGCACAAGAAGGGCACGCCCTGGCTGTGGAGGAGGGTGGGGTGGTGGGGGGTGTGACTGGTCAGCGGGAAGGGTTCTGATGCAGGGCGTTTGGCTGGATTTTGGAGGGGGCTACTGGTTGCAGAGAATAAATTTTAAAATTCACCTCATCAAAGTACAAAACTACTTAATCAAGATTACTTAAACTTGCTTAAAAATGAAAACTTAACAGATATCAACCTCCACTTTCAACCATGTAGGATTTTAAACCTAAACCAATGGTTAAGTCACAAAGAGTGAAAGATAAACTGAGTAAGTGCCGCCAGCAAATGACAAAGGGCCAGATAAGGCTCAGGAGCCGCCGAGACCTAGAGCCCAGCGGCAGAAAGTCACAACTTGACGCCTGTGGAAACGCAGAGGCTGCGTCTTCAGGCAGAGTCCTGGCCGCCCAGGAGCCAAACCTGCAGGATCGCAGGTGGACTGTGGACTGGCCAAAACCTAGATGCCAAACTGAAGCGCCAGCTTTGTGGGGGTGTGTGGGGGGGCACAACCACCCCTGTGACCTGGGCAGGTGTCACAAGCTTTAAGACACACTTATCTGCGACCCTGTGGCACGTGTAGAAATGAGTCCAGGACTATTACGGACTTGAAAACCATGTGCACTGAAGCGCTAACGCCGGCTCAGCGTGGGGACCTGGGCGGGGGGCAGGGGTCCAGCCCCTCTAGGGGGAGGCTGCAGAAGAGGAACCCCAAGGGGTGGAGGAGAGAAACCCGTTGTGGCTTTTGCTTCCCGGGGGAAGCTTCCACTTGCCAGAGGGGTAAGGCGGGACCCCAACCCCAGCCCCTGGGTCCCTCATCCTTCCGGGGCACACTGGATGTGGCCGGGCATGCTAGCCTCTCTCCAACTTCCATCCCAATCTGGTAAGGAAAGGACCCCCACACTCCCAGACCTACCAGCTGTGGATGTCCCTGGCACAGACGCTTCTGAGGACTTCAGCTCCTCCACGCCCACGGTCTGAGGGGCCTCCCAACTGCTGGACACCCTGGCTGAGACAGAGAGGCTCCCCCAGGAGATGTCAGCGGGTCTGGAGGTGTGCAAGCACCCCACGTGGCTGCTCTGGGAGAGCCAGTCCACAGAGCCAAAGCTGGAGGCCGGCTTTCCGCCGCCGGGCGGTGTGGAGGAAGGAGGCATGACTGGACGGTGGGGGTCAGGCGAGCGGGTGGGGCCGCGCTGAGCACTGGATCGCCTCAGGTTTAGCGGGGCTGGGCTGCATTTATAAACTCAGGAGAAGCGGGTGGGAGGTGGGTTTGCATAGATGGCTCAAATCCCCCCAGATAAGTAGCATCTAATTGCCTGCAATTCAGAGGCACAAAGGAGGCCATTCACACCTCCCCCGGCTCCAAGATGTCTGGGGGAGGGGCGGGGCTGCGGTCAACGGTTAAGGGAGATGTGGTGGCTGCGGACTTGTTACATCCCTTTATCTCTCCCCACCCCCACCCCAGCAGGCCTAGGTTGTCGGAAGGTGAGGATGGCTCCTCCCACCTCCGCTCCCAAGCTGAGGGCTTGTCCTGTGGGGTGCCAGACCATCTTCTCTCCCCTGGTTGCCTCTCCATCCGCCCTGTGGGTCTGCAGTGCCGAGGTGACAACTGTGCAACTGAGAGAGAGGTTGCTTCCCAAGACAGGGTGGGTTCGACCAGTGTTTGCTGTGTCCAGGTTTGTCTGGCTGGGTAGGAATGTAAGGCTGGCATTCATGGAAGGCGACTGCCACGAGCCAGGCACCGCAGCCCTTCGGTCTCGTCACCTCCAGCCCACGCCCCTCCCTTCTGCTGGGTTTCGATCTGGTGCCAGAAGTTGCCTCCAGATTTGGGTGACACAAAGGAGGGTCTGCTGGCTGAGGGCAGGGGCACCTGCCTGCGCGCTCGCAGGAGGAACCCAGCAGGAAGGCCAACAGGCTCACCACCTAGACGGCGGGTTGTAACTCAGTTGCTGCCACCTTTGGGACCGGAGGCTATGGAGCCCGAGCTTCAGGGGAGTGCCCTCAGGACGGTCACCCTGTCCCTGTGGCCGCTTCACTCCTGAACTGGCCAGGACCTGGTACTCTGGGGGAGGCAGCAGGCTCAGCCTGGTGGGCACAGCGCGGCGCTCGGCCCGACCCCGAGGCTGGCGCCGCCTCACCTGGACCCCTCTCCCAACCTTGTCCGACCGCATCTGTCTCCTGGACAGGACCCGGCAGACGCATACCCGGTGCGTTCAGGGCAAAAAAAAAACACTGCCCGGAGCTGAACACCCCTCGAATGCCGGCTCGGAGTCCGCGAGCGCCCCCGGGGGCCGGAGTCGGGTGCCGGCTCTGGTCCAGCCTCCAAGCCTACGCCGGGGCTTTGGTGCAGACCGTCGGGTCAGCAGCTTGGGCTCCTGGGGCGCCGGCGCCAGTCTGGGCCGGGCACCGACGTCCACCTCCGCGCCCCCGTCCGCGGAATCAAAGGGCCCGCGGGCCTCGCCCCGGGATTAACACCCCAGCGCCGCCTCCCCAGCCTCTCTGGCAGCAAGGGGTCAGGAATGTGGGAGCCGGACTCCCACGGGCACAGCAGGAACCGGCCGCTCTGGCCCCGGGTCTGGGTGAAGGGTCGGGTACTGACCGCAACGCCTCTGATTCGGGTGTTCCTCGGGCCCCTGCACCGACCGCATTCGGTCACCGGACTCCGCGGGGTTGAGGATGGGGATTTGAATCACTCGCCATGTATCCCTGGAAGTGACCAGCGGGGCCCCAAGACGCGTGTGTGGCAGGCTCCTGGGGCCAACGCGACGTGGACGTTCTGCTACCTGGCGACAGAGGCCTGGCCGGTGGGGGCCTGCGCAGAGCTCCTCTGGGACAGATGGGGTGGGGGGTGGGGTGCCTCACAAACCCGGCAGAAGGAAGGATTTCCCCCAGGACAGCTCCACGTGCTCTAGATAAAGAGCTACATTTGCTGGGATTGCCCAACTGTGCGCCAAAGCTGTAATTTAGGAAACGTCAGCGTTCACACGCGTCGCTGCTGCTCTTGGCATCTGTCCATTCCTAGTCTTTGGGGGCCGGGCCTCTGGCCTTTGGCCGACATGCCCGCACCTCCCGCGGCACCCCCACCAGTGCAGAGAGGCTTCCTCCCTAATCCCGGACTGTAAGGGCCTCCGCCTTCACTTTCTCAGGTCCCCGCCCCCCTCCCCCCAACACCCCTCCTGAGTCCAAAGGAGACGACGCCTCAGCGGGTCAGCGAGCCCCTCCTTCCGGAGCCCCCTCCAGCTCCAGGCTGCTGTCTGGGCGGCCCCCTTCCCTCCCAGCGTCCCTCTGTCGTTCCTTCTAGCACGGTCAGGGGCTCCGGCATGCTGCCCTCTCGCCTGGCTGCTCCTGTCCAGTGGGGTCTCCCGTCCCCTCCTGCATTCCGGGTCCGTCCCTCTAACCCTGGCTGCTCAAGCCAGTGACAGCTGTGTCACCCACGCCTGGCCTCAGCTTCCTCGCTTGGCTTTGGAGCAGCCCTTGGGGCTGCCGGGACCCCGCCCTTCCCCTGGCTCTGGGACCCGCACCCCGGGGTTGGTACCCCGCGGCAGCCCCAGGCCGCCTTCCTCGGAGGCCTCGTGATTGCTTGCGGGCGTGGCCTGCGCTCTCGGCCGCGGGCCGCTAAGCCGGGGCGACATTCCCCAAACCCCGCGCCTGCAGGCGGCGGAGTCGCCTCCCACCTGTCCCCGGGGTGGCGGGGCGTGGAGCTGAACGACGGACGCGCTCCGCACGCTCCCAGTGCCGCTGTCACTCGGAGGCCGGGCAGCCCCGCCCAACACGCTTCCAAACTCACCCCCCCCCCACGGGCTTTCCGGCGGCCTCAGCCCTGCGTCCCGCACCCGGTCCTGCGGTCCCGCCGGCTCGGACCGTCCCGTCCTCGCCATCCCACTCTCGGGCCCGCCAGCCCCTCCTCCGCCTCGGATCTCACGGAGTCGGCCACGCCCCCTCCCTACCGCCACGCCCCTCCCTGCCGCCACGCCCCCTCCTTGCCGCCTCGACCTTCGCAGTCCCCTTGGACCCCTCTACTTTGGGGACCCCAACTGCTTGTTTGTGGAACGCTCCAAGGTGTGAGTGTGGGGGCGAGGTGGGCATGACCCCGCCCTAACTGGGTGAGTCTCGGGAGAGGGCACCTAATGGGTGGGAGTGGCAAATTCTTAAGGCTGCAGGTGTGATAAGGTAGATCCCCGCCTGCCAATCTGAAGGTGGCTGGCCCTGGGGACAGGCTCACTTCCGTCTACCTGTCAGGGTCTCCCTGCCCGTTGAGTGGGCTCCTCTCTCGCGTCCCCCCTTTCCTAGGGGGCCCAGGTCCCTGTCCCCAGGGCAGAGCCTTTGCCTGCTGCTGCCACAGGCGACGTGGGGAGTGGGCCCAGCCTCCCATCCCGCCCTTGAAGCGTGAACTGTCAGGGGCAGGTGGATGAGGGAAGGCAGGGCCCTGGAGGGCAAGGCTGTTGTGGGAAATGGGGGTCCCAGAACCCAGCAGGTCAACAGCTGAGACAAGGAAGAGGTGTTGTTGGGGGTGACTCTTGGCAGGTCCCCCTACAGTCAGCTTCTGGGCTTAGGACGCTCCTGCCAGCACAGTGCGTTCGAGCTGCCCACTCAGGCCAGCGCTGATGTGAGGAGCACGGAGAGAGGAAAAGAACACAAGCCATGAAGGGTCAGCTGTGCGGGACACAGGTTGACACAGTAAAGGGATGTGTGATTCTTAAAAAGGATGAGACCTGTACACGGTGGCCGACAGCAACGTCAGGCCTGAATCGCTTCAGGTCACTGCTGGAAGGTCTCACACTTTAGTGAAAGAAATGGGATTTGCTGATCGAATTAAATATAAATTTAAAGGCGATATTCTGAAGATAGGACCTTAAACCAACGACATACAACACTAGACTAGAACAGAATTTTATGTAAGGACTGAATGTGGAATCAGGTACATCATATCTCTAACTGTGTGTTGCAGACTGCTGACTGGTCCTTAATGATGTGTGTTCATAAGGTGATTTAAATTAGTTTAGGTTTAGAAACCAGTTACTCAGTTGCACTGGCCACGTTTCGAGCTCAGTGACCACACGTGGCTGTGGCAACGGACAGTGCAGCTTCAAAAAGTTTCTCTCCCAGCGTCTGCTGCACATGTGTTGTCCAGACACAAAGGCTGTGTGTATGTGCCCGGTGTTATCAGAAACAGCAGTGAACCAGACAACTCAGATGACAGGAGACACAGTGGTGCCTCCTTATAAATATGATAAGGACAGTGATCCCTGGGTCTTCAGGAAGGGACCCACTTCTGGGAGATTCTGGTGACAAAGATGACAGCTGATGCAGATGGCATCAGCTAGGGGACTAAAGAGAACTCTGGTGACGGGGGACACAAAACAGGCTCACCCACAGATGTGGAGTGTACCTGGCTGAGCACACCACACACAGACCACAGAGCTCTAACAGCGGAGGTGGCCCTGACCCTGGGAAGGCAGGCCTGCCAGCAACTGGAAGCAGGCCTTAGCGGTACGCAGCGCAGGGTGGCAAAGCGAAGCCAGCACGGTGTGGGACAAGGGCCTCTAGTTCTGTTTACCAAGGCAGGCCTCCTGGGAGAGGGTCCTCTAGGGACGATGACAGATGTTAGTGAAATACCTGGTAGCAGACCCGCCAGAGAGTGCAAGTGGGGTTAGTCGCCTCCCAGTCCAGCCAGTCAGGAGTAAGGCCTCCTGATCTGAGGTTCCCTGGGGCCAGAAGGGCCCTTGAAGGAACAGATTGGAACCAAAGGCTCAAAAAACAAGAGTGGGGACGGAGTGCCCCCGGGTGCCCAGCAGGTGAAAGGAACAGACGAGACCCATTGTGTGGGTAGGAAAACCCGACTGGGAAGGATTGTGGCACCCCCTTGGATGACGGCAGGAAGGCCTGGCACAGTCACGCCCCAGCGCTGGTGCCCAGGGCAGGAATGGTGAGGAGAGGACAGGAGTCATCGACTGGCTGGCAGACTCCTGCTGGAGTGACTCGGTGTTGAAATCCGAATGCCCCCGTGTGATGGACTGGGAACAGCGTGCCTGGTCAGTTCAGGCTCTGCCGCAGCAGCAACACAGGCTGGGCTTAAACAACAGACGCTGATTTCTCAGGCCCTGCAGGCTGGAGGGGCCTGGTGGGCGGTTCCACCACGGCCACTTCCTGGTAAACATGCCGCTTCCCTGCGGTGTCCAACTGGCCGAGCCAGGACACTCCTGTCTCTTACAAGGGCACCAATCCCATCATGGGGGCTCTACCCCCACTTCCTAACCCCATCATCTTGGGGGTTAGGATTTCAACATGGGAATTTGGGGGCCACCAACATTCAGTCCATAACAGGGCAACATGGTTTCTGGCAGACAACTAACTTCAGCGGCAGAGCCATGCAGGAGGTAAAGTGGGACCAAGAGCACTGCTCCGTTGGCTGGCGAAATGGTCGTCTTCCATGGCAAAGGCCGCGTGGGGGAGCTGGAAAAGAGGGCCTCCGGCAAAAACTTGCAGAAAATAGAGGCGTCTTCCTTATCTCATAAATCACATGAGGGATAAACGTATTTGCCAAAACCTTGGGGATATGTTCTTTGCAAAAACAATAGGTCAAGCCCGGTGGGGCCCACCTCCCCTGATGGCAGTAGAATGTCCCAAGTGTCAAAAAACGTTTATCTCAGGAGCATCATGCAGATGATATAACTCGAGGGACAGATGGAAGAGGCGCTAATTTGGACAGATGGACGCTGAAAACGCAGAGGATGGGCAGTTGCACATCAGGAAGTTAGAACGGAGGTTTGTTCTCTCGGCTGCTGTGAAGCTGAGGAGACCCTGGGTCTCACTGTCTCTCAAAGGCCCTTGGTTCGATTCCTCTCCAAAAAAAAAATAAAAATAAAAATAAATACATTTAGTTCAGTTAAATTTCTAGGGACAATCGGACATCAGAGGGAACACAGGTAGCAGACCTAATTAGAGTGTAGCTCTAGCCAGGGATAAAACAAGGCCCTGGGTTGAGAGGGTTACTTGCATCTTTGGAGAAAACACATTTAACACTTAGGTGTTCCCACACAAGCTACGTACCGAGCATTAGAAGAAGCTGGTTTCACTAGGGCTGGGCAGTGCTGACCCTTGATGTGTGAGCCTGATGTGTGAAAACACATCTGCTCTGGTGCCAGCCCCGAAGGGAGTCGATGTGGGTGGGAGGCCCACGGCCCCGGGCACTTCGGGGAAAGAGGAGCTGGCTCCAGCCCACTGGCTGCCCACACAGAAGCAGAGTGGCCTCAGAGCACGCCATCGCCACAGCAGCTTGTGACGGGGCAGATGGCGACAAGGACTCAGGTGCAGTCGTGGCGTGGGCCTGAATGTCCTAAACACACAATGGTGTGGCACAGAAAGGCCATGGGATAAATGGGAAAAACAAAGCCAGCCCATGTCTCTGAAGCTGCAGCCATGGTCACTGCTGGTCATCGAGCTGGTGAGGGACATGAGTGACGTGCATGCTTCATAGGCCTCCACACAGCACAGAAGACAGTAAGATTGCTGGTCACCAGGAATTAACACCAGAAAATGGTCACTGGCCAGAAAGACAAGCTAGGTGGGTCCACCAAACAACTGGACAGGGCATGTGCAGTCATCAAGGTGGCACCGACCCCCGTAACTGCACATGCTGTAGGACAGCCACCAAAGGGTGCCAACCTCACCTGTTAGGACAGCCACTGTCAAAAAGACAGACAAACGGGTTGGCCAAGTGGCTCAGGTGGTCAAGAGCTCTCTCAAGAGTGCGAGCTCTGAGCAACAGTGGTTCGAATCCTAGCCCGAGCTGAGCTGCCAACAGGTGGCAGGATGGCTCAGCTAAAAAAAAAAAAAAAAAAAAAGAAGACAGGGCCGGCCGAGTGGCGTGTTGGTTAAGAGCTTGTTTGGGACGCCAGCTCTGAGCAGCAGGGCCCCGGTTCGGATCCCACATATGAGGGCCAGTGACACTGCCCTCTACAGCTAAGATGGTGAACAACAGCTCAACCTGGAGCTGGGCTGCCCTGAGTCACCGGCGACGGCGTAGGCTGCAGCCCCTGCTGCAGTGGGCTGCTGTAAGCTACCATGAGTGGCCGGCAACCAGCGTGAGCGGCTGGCAGCTGATGTGAGCTGCCAAGAGCCGCCATGAGCGGCTGTCCAGAGGCTGGTGACCGATCTGCCTCACCTGAGAGGAGCGCAACAATAACACCAACATGGGCCAATGAAGCAACGTCCTCCACAACTAGACTGAAGAACAAAAGGACAGCAACTTGTCTGTTCCCTTTCCCTGATTCCCCAATGCTGTTCCCATCCCAATTCCCAAATAAAAATCTTAAAAAAAAAAAAAGACAGGAAATACGTGCTGGGGGCACGTGGAGAGGTCGGAACCCTGTGCGCTGGGGGCGGGATGTGACACGGGGTGGCCGCGGGAAAGCCGTGTGGTGACCTCAGAAAACCCCACACAGAGCCACCAGGGGACCAGCACTCCCTTCTGGGTGTCTGTCCAGGACAACGGAAGGCAGGGCCTCGGACAGGCGCTCGCACCCACGTCCACAGCAGCACGAGTCCCATGGCCAAGACTTGGAAGCAAGTGTCCGTGGAGGGGCGAACGGGTAACGGGAGTGTGGCGCATGACGCGGCCTTCAAAAGGAGGGACATTGTGACAGGTCACCACACAGATGGACCAGGGGACGTGGCGCTCAGTGCAGTAAGTGTCACAAAAAGACAAGCATGGTGGATTCCACTTAGGAGGTTCCTAGAGGAGTCCTTCAGAGGCAGGAAGTGGAATGGTGATTCCCAGGAGTAGGGAGGGGCAGCTGGTGTCTGACGGGGACAGCGTTTCAGTGTGGCAAGATGAGGCGGCCTGGGGATGATGGAGGTGACAGCTGCACATCAGTGTGTGTGCTTGATGCCAGAGCTGGGCAGCTGGAAATGGGTACGGTGGTGAATCGTATGTTGTGTATTTTACCACAGTAAGAGGGAAAGGTGTAAATCTGACCAATGGCACCTTAGTGAGAAGAGGGGACTAATGTGCAGACTGGAGTGGTTCCGGGCGGCCCTCCTGGAAACAATGCCCGGCACTCGTGGTCAGGCAGAGGGAGATGTGTCAGCAGCCAGGGACAACAGTGCCACCACGGTGTGTTCACCTCACGTGCCCAGAGCCAAGCCGAGGCTGCCCAGCATGACAGGGCAGGGACATGCCTCACCCCACAGGCACAGGGAGTCACTGGCAGGGCTGGCGAGGAGGGATCGGGGGTTCCCACAGCATCAGGAACCGCAGTGGTGAAAACGGTAGACACTAGCCACGGGGCTGGGGCACTGCACTCGCCCACACTACTCCACCGCAGACCTGCAGCCATCCAGGAAGGAGCGTGTGGATTCATTACCTCAACACAGAACCAGGGCGCCCCAGGAGGAAGCCGTGGACATAGCCCCCAGCCAACGCGGCAGGAAGGCAGGCGGATTTTCCTTGTCTCAAACTTGAAGACTTAGGTTGATTTTTTTTCTGCCTCGAAACAGCCCTTTCCAGGGCCGAGGGTTCTGGGTGACGCGAGTGATGGCCACACCAACGCCAGTCCCTACCCCTGGGGGTCGGCAGGTCTGCTGGGATGTGGCCCAGTGCTGTCTCAGACCCCCAGCCTGTGGCTCTGACCTTCCAGGTTGAGTGGGGGGTGGGGGATGTTTGCAAACAGGCTTCGGGCAGCTCGGGACTGAGGCAGGCCACAGCAGCGTGTATTACAAGCGGTGACACTCGGAGTCGCTTCTTTGGGTTTGGTCTCTCCCAGAGCCCTCAGGTCCCGCCACTGACACACAGCAGAAGGTGGGCTCAGGTAGGTCTGGAAAGATCGCCTCGGCCCCCCTGGGGAACTTGGCAGGATGAGGGTCCAGCGGGGCCTCTTCTCCCACAGCTCCTGAAAAGGGCGTGGGGGAGGGGCTGCAACCCAGCACCAGCTGCTGAGGTCTCAGGATGGTTGGAGCCACGGGGCCAGGGAGGGCGGGCCCAGAGCAGCCACTAAGTCCTTCTGAATGAGCCCCTAGTTGGTGCAATGGGCCCCTCCCACTCTACTCCGGTTTGCATTGTTATGCTGGTGAGGCGCCTCAGGCTACTTCCTCCCTCCACCAGGCAGGGGCCGCACTGGCCCCACCCAGTCCCTTCGGCCTGTCCCGCTGGTTGGGGTGGGGCCCTCAACCACGAGCTGGTAAACGCTCTGGGTGACTTTGATAGCCTTAAAATTGCAGGGACCCTGACTTCAGCCAAGGTCGAAAGCCTCAGCCCTCCCAGCCCCCAACCCCCTGGCGCATCCAGGACAGTCACCTCCCTGGGGGCAGGACCAGCTCCCCCGCCTGTGTGTCCCCGGCCCCGCTAAGGAGTCGTTTTGCAGATCCAGCACCGCGCCCGGGGCTGGCCTGGCCAAGGTGGGACTTTGGGAACGCCCTGCCTGCTCCGGCAGCTAACACCTTCCCCACAGGGTCGGGCAGAGCTGGGCCACCCATTCCCACCCCCGCCGCCTGCTCAGCAGGCTCCGTGCGAGGGTGGGGTTAGTGCCCCGCCCCCCTCCGCGTGGCAGGTCTGTGCTGGTGGGCAGTCTGGCCTGACCTGGGAGACCCCAATCTCACGTTCCAGGTGCCAACAGACCCGTCCCCCTGGAGACTGGCCTCCTGGGGAAGGCCCTGGCTGCCACCCCAACAGACCCCAACCCACCCAAGGAGCAGGCCGCCTGGTGCTCTCGGCCCCTCCCTAGGATCCCAGGCCATTTTAACCCGCCCAGAACCCTGCGGGCCCTACCTGCAGGGGAACGTTCCTACCTAGGCGGGCCCTGCACACATTCACGGGATTAAAACGCGAAAAACAACCTTTTTTATTGAACGTACCTAGATGTGGGGGAGGGCAGCAGGACGGGGTCAGGGGCGCTACATAGGGGCAGGCCTCACTCGCGCCGGTCGGCCAGGACGCCCCGCTCCGCGGCGGCGCTGCCTAGGATGAACCCCACCGCCAGCGACACGGTCTGGTCGAAGGAGCCGCGCAGCTGCTCCACATGCTGGTTCAGGGTCAGCAGCTGGTCGCGCAGCGGGCCCAGGATGGCCACGATGTCGCCCAGGTGCCCCAGGGTCTGCAGGAGGGCGGCGTTCAGCGACGGGGGCGCGGACTGTGGAGGCGCTTGGTTCTCCGGGCGGCCGGGCGGCGAGTCGGCTTCTTCCCAGGCGGGATCGGAGGGCGGCGGCGGCGGCGAGTCGGGGCCGTGGGCGGGCGCGTGGTCCTCCGGGGGGCCGGGCGCCGGAGTGAGAGTGGGGAGCGCCGTCGGGGAGGCGGGGGCGCGGGGGGCGTCCGCAGACTTGGCCGGGGACGAGCTGAACCTGAGCGTCCAGGCTGGGTCTGCGTCGGGGTCGCGCTCGACCAGGAGCGGCGGGGCGCCTGGAACGCGGAGCGGGCGGTGGGGTCCGGCGCCCGGGGCGCGCCCGCGGCTCCCCGACCCCCACCCCGCACCCTTCCTACCTGGCTCGACGGCCACGCTGGGGGCCGGGCGGCGGCCGCGCTGGGGGCGCCCGGG